CGACAGCGTTTTAGAGCTGTAATATGTGTATGTACAGTGTTGAGAGTAGAGCATCAAGGAGTGATGTTACGGTTTTTCATGTACGTCAAAAATTGTGAAGGCAATTCTGCTAGAAGCGCTTCTACCACTGACACTTCTCCATCTGCAACCAAAACACAAAACAATGATCAACCAAAACGCTGCGTTTTATAGCCTCCGACACAAATCAAGAAGACCAAGAACTCACATTGTATGTCTCGTAACGCAACGAACTGGACGATATCACGCGATGCAACGCGGCCGCTCGAGCTCTCTAATCTCTCTCCCTTGTCTCCATCTAGTACCTACACAAACAAACAACAATACATAACTGTTTGTAAGAATCTTTTCGATTTTGCAGCTGAGTAACCACAAGCTTGCTAGTAGTGTTTTAGGAATTGGAACCTCCATTTCTTTATAGTCAGCTCCTCCAACTCCAACGATGAGGATTGATAATGGAAGATCCGATGCACTGACCAATGCGTCTTTCGTTTCTTGCAGATCTGTTATTACTCCGTCCTATGAACACGGACAAGTTTAGTTTCCATTGTCTTTACATAAAAGCAGGTTTTGATATTGAGTATCAACTCACAGTGATTATCAACAAGTTTTGATATTGAGTATCAACTCACAGTGATTATCAACAAGACGTAATATTTTCGTGCATTTTGAGCGAGTGACTCGCTAGCGATTGTTGCAGCAGCGTTGATCACGGGACCAAATAGAGTAGGCCCAGCGAAAGAGACGTTGAAGAGAGCACCATTGTAGGCATTCATGATACCTTGAATCCCATCTACCTGAGAAAATAGTTGAATAATTTGTTACAAAGTTAGGTTCGTGTTCTTTACTTGAGAAATGCGAGTCAGATTTTGTTGCCAGACCTCACAATAAGTACTGCTTCCGTTGAGGTTAAAGCAATGTGAAACCGGGATGTCGATTGGACGAGCTCCGAAACCCCAAGCGGGAAAGCGTTTGTCATAGTCGTAGAACTGCAATACTTCTCCAACTTCAACTATTGCCTGAATGGAAAGAAAGAAGATCACAACACAGTCATTACTTCTGCAGGGAATTTGAAAAGTAAACTTGAATAGATTGAGTCCTTACTCTTTGGTACGCATTTAATCGTCCTGTAGGATCGATGTAATGCAAGGAATCTGGGAGGCGAGGATTTCCATTTGAAGCTAATGGAAGAAGGGGACAATTAGATTAGTTTAAAGGGAATGCATTAGAGGGAGAGCCTTGAGAAACTATTCCCTTCTCAGATCTTTTTACCATGGTCAAATTCTGATTCATACCCGTGAAATCAATGGCGACCATGAAGTTCAATTCGAATCCAGACGCCAAGTATTCTAGGAATGTATGCTGAACAGTTTCAGTAAACTTGTCCACAAAAAGCTGACTCTTTAATACCTGAGCAAATAGTAAATTGTATCAGTTTTCTTGCATTAAGATTGTATGTAACCTTTTATTGTTGAAGATCCATACCCTGTCTTCATGTTTATGTCCAACACCGGTTGGTAAGAATAAATTGATTCCTTGGCCACTCAAATGAAGCTTTTCTAAGTCTGAAAGTGATTTCTGAACTTTTCTGGCAAACCAAATAACAAACAAGAATTATCTCAGCTTAAGCAACTCATATGCCGAAATAGAATGGAAGGAATCGAGATTTCGTGGTTACCCGATCAGATTGTGGTTACCATTGCCATTGAAGTCTAAGCACTCTATTACCAATGGGCTTTCCTGCAAGATTACATAAAAGAATTGATACATCTTCCTGTTCAGATAAACACAGAGATAATAAACCTCTCTGGTTGGTTACCTTACTCCCTACTTGTTGAACACTTAGAAAGACTGGTTTCCAAAGTGGATTGGCATCATTCTTTAAGACTTCGGTTTTAGAGACCGGGATTGGATTCCCGTGCTCTACAATCTTAGATATCACCAAAAACGGGTCCTGAGCAAGAAAAAGCCATGTTATATATGTTTATGCCCGAAGTTAAATTCGGGTAAAATCGTCAAAGAGTATTGTTTCTATAGCTTACACTTTTAGAGAAATGATCCTTCGATTCCAAATTCAAGCACCTAAACACTATCTCTGTGGTGGTCTTAGAAGCTAGAGACTCCTCAGCATGGACAACAAGCTTTCCATTGTTATGTGACTGAGTCTGTGCAGCAGCACCTTCTTTACGCTTGAGTTCTAACGCAATCGTCCTATTTGATTTCGTGATAATCTGCACATATAGTTGACCGGTAAATATAACATCTAAATCAATATTAACCAGTTTTACAAGCTATGCACAAGAACAAGGTAGAGTGATCCTAAAATAAACAGATAAGAGAAAGTTAAGCAGCGGATACCTCGGACAATGTACACGTTGCCTCGCCGAGAAATTGTTGCTCGTCGAGCCTAAGCATCTGAAATGAAACATCCCAAACTTCATGTAAAATTCAATAGAAAAGGGAACACTGAGAGCAATAATGAGATTTTTTTGCAGTTACCTCTTCCTTTGAATTTTGAAACTGAGTGTCAATATCATACACACGAAACCTGTGTATGTATACACAAAAGGATCATAAAGGTGAGAACTTTAACTTCTTATCCCTCAAAAGATTCCCATATAAACCGAATTTCAGAACACAAACTTACAGTAATGTTTGCACAATCTCAAACTGATAACCAATTGTAAACTTCCTAATCCATTTAGGGTTCAAAGAATTCAAAACAACTTCACTACGGAACAACTCTGCAAGTGTTCCATCTCTTCCTTTTGAATAAACAACCACCATTGCATCACTCTGCATAATCATCACAAACCAAACCAAGTACATCAAAATCCACAACACTAGTCCTTAGAAAATCATTCTATAAAGGAACCAATCAGATCACTAAGCTATAAAAACACCAAATCAATCATTAAAAAACCAACCTTTGAAATCACGTCTCCGTCTCGTAAACTGGAAGCAGAGAACGATAACTGCGAAACAAGAAAAAAAGTTCAAATCTTT